AAAAAAAAAAAAAAAAAAAGTATTTGTGTATTTTATCTCATTTTGAAGAAGCAAGCAAAGAAAAACCCAACCACAGAGGTACAGAAGATGACCCCAGCCACCCACTAACCCAAGTACCCCCATTATTATGGCAAAAAAAAAGAAGAAAAAAGAGTATCCTGTAGGAAACCTTACACTAATTGCTCCATTTGCTTCCTCCCCCTGTCTTACTTGGTAGAATGGAGTGGAAAAAGACCCTGAACTGCAAAAGGAGAAAAAAGAGGATCCCATCCACCCACAAGCCTAGGGAAGAAAATCTCCATCCACCTACAACTCTACAGGAAAAAAAATTCACATTTCCCCACAAAACTACAGGAAAGAGTCCCCACCTACCCGCAAACCTACAGGAAACTAAACACCCCACAACTTGAAGCCTACGAAAGAGAGACCCCAAAGACCACAAATGTAGGAAAATAAAGTCATTTTTCATCAACACAGCTACAGAAAAGAACAGGAAAAAGAAAAAAGAGCTCCAAACAGAAAAGCAAAACAAAACAGAGGGCTGCAAACTAACAAAAAAGGCCCCAACCCGTTCCTGTGTTTCCCACCCTTCCAGAGCTGAGGACACCTTTCTTACATATTATCTGGCATTGAGTCTGGATGGGTCTAGAATTAATGAAGAAAAGAGTAAAAATAAAGGTCCCAGAAGAGCAGCCCGTCCTGAAAGAGAATGGAGCTCATTAAGTGGCTTTGAAAATTGCTTTCTACCGCTGATTTACTTGGAAAAATATGTCAAACCAGAAAAAGAAAGAAAAAGCCAACAGCTCTGGCGCTGCCAACAATAGAAGACAATGACCTCAAAACTTACAGAAAAAAGCCACAAAATGACAAAAAGAAAGAAAAAAGGCCAACAGCCACAGAATTTCCAAAAGGCAAAAAGCAACACACCTGCAAGCCTACCAAAACAGACACACAAGAAAACCCACAAATATACCAAAACATTTATTTCAAAGAGGGTAAACCTGCTCCATGGGTGAGGTTCACCAAATCTAGAAACGTGCTGAAAATTGTTTTCTGCCCACGTTTCTATTTTAAAGCAAGTAGTTCTGTGGTTTAGACCAATCCAGATTTGAGCAGGTCTTTGCTCATGTCCTTTCTTGGATAAAATGTTCCTGAAATTGCTTCAAAATTGTTTCAGAACTCATTCTTTACCAAGAAAGAAAAAAAAAAAAGAAAAAAAAAAAAGAAAAATATCTTACTGCTCAGCAGCCACAGGTAATTATGAAATATTCCCCCAAATGCAGTCTGTCCTGGAAGGAAATGGAGCCTGTTTAGTGGCTTTGAACATGGCTTCTTCCCTATGACTTCCTTGGAAGAATTTGGGGAGAAGAAAAGAGGAAAAAAAAAAAAAAAACACAAGAAAAAAGAGCCAAAACCACCTGCAAATCCACAAAAAAATCCGACCTCGTCCAGGTGCCAAACTACCAAAGACGACGACGCCGTCCACCCGCAGAGCTGCCTGAGGAAACGGCCACCCGGGAACCTGCAGATACACCAGGGCCAACAAGCCCAGAGCTGCAGAGCTGCCACAACCAGGAGACCAAGGCCTTCGGGCCTCCAAAGTAAGAGAAAAAATTATAAAAGACAGAAAATGGCAAAAATGAAAAAAGAATGGGCCAGCAGCCACAAAAGTTCCAAAATGCAGAGACCAGCACACCTGCAAAGCTGCAAACACAAAGAAACAAGAAACAATCCTACTGAA